ATTTGCTATTGCATTAATAAAGAATCTTTGCTGAAATTCCTAAATACTGAAATCTATAATGTTATGATTTTTCTTAAAGTTAAAAATGGTAATATATGGTGAACATGAAATCAAAATATTAGATGATTTTTATGAAAGTTTCAAATATCAAAATAAGCAAGTCTTTTTAGCAAAGGTTAATAAGTTTGAGTTTATTCAGGAATGGCAAGAGGTAAAATTACTTATAAAAATTATTAAAAATTTAATTTTATAGATGAATGAAAGCGGATTTTTACTAATTTACAATTTTTAACTCTTTATCCAAATTTAAGCAAAATAGTTAATTATTTATTAATTGTGCCACTTTCTAATAGTAATGTTGAAAGAGTTTTTTCTTAATAAAATCTTATTAAAATAAAAGTATATAATCAAATGAAACTTAAAGCTTTGGCAAAGATATTCAAGACGCATTAATAAACAAATTGTATAATTCTAATTTGAATTTAATAAAATTTATGAGTATAATAAATATAATTATAGGCTGATGCAAAAAGATTTGTATCTTATTTAAAAAGAAAAGGATTTATGCTAAGAAAATATTATACAGCTAAAATAAAATAGGCTGAAAAAAATATATATTAGAATGGTTTTAAATATTGTATAGTCCCAAAAATAAGCACCCTATGACACGCTCCTTTTATAGTAATTTATTTATTTGTCACATAAAATTTATTATATTATTAGTTACGTATATACTGATAAATTTATATATATCACGTGATGCTTATTTTTGGGACTATACAGTAAACATTTTTATTATAGTTTTTTTGTTTTATTATCCATAGTTCCTCCATAAAATGAAGTGGTACACCATTAACTGATAATAAAAGTTAATAGTAATCTCTATTTACAATTATTTTTTAGAGATTAACTTTAAAATAGAGAACCATCAAAAGATCACATTACGCAAGTAGGTTTCTAATGCATTAAATATATCAGAAAGTACGATTAGAGTGGTTATGGCAGATTAAAACAAATGTGATGATAACACTTTTATACTGCATAAAATCCTTGATCAACCTAAATTGCAATCTGATGAAAATATTTCAAAAATTTTGCGTATGAAAATTTTAAATTCTAACAAAATGGCTGAATAACTTTCTATACATATCTTATGACAGTTTTTTGCTGAAAAAGAATATGATTTTTCTAAATAGAAGCTTTTTTGAATACTATACCAGTTGGGCTTTTATTATAATCAGAGAGAACGTAAAAATCTCCTTTATGAATTACCAAATAATATTGCATTTTATAGTTATTATTTTCATTTTCATTTTGTTAATTTAGAAGGCCAAAATAATATTTCATGTCATCCAGAAGTTTTTCTTGATAAATTATACTATTACTTACATTATAATGCTCGCAATACATGAGTTTCTTATTATAGTGTTATTTTGATACCTGGGCATAGTTCATTAGTGATAATTTTTGAAGCAATTATTGTATTTTAAAATAGATCTTTTAATAAGCTAAATAGTGAACTTATTCCTAATTCTGTTTATATTTAGAAACTAACAATTAAACCTTCAAGTAATAAAGAAAGAAAAAGGAATAATGCTAAAGAATGGAATGATGTTCCCAATGTTATTAAAGAAGCAAATATCATTTCTAACTAAGTAGATTATCATGAAAATTTTATTGCAGAAATTTTTGAGGATCTTTTTTCAACTCTTTGCAAAACCTTTCATGAAAAATATGGGTTTGTATGTATTCATATAGATGGGATAAGCTATCATAAACGACGAGTTGAAAGTATTCCAACTTCAAATGCAAAAAAGCAAGAAATTATTGATTGGTTAAATGCATATGATATTGCTTTTTCAGATGAATTAAGAAAACTAGAACTTTTGGAATTAGTTCAAATAAACAAAGAAAAGGTTTCATTTTTGTGTATTAAGATTGCAGAACAATATGAACATAAATAAAAATGGTCACCGCAATTAAAAAAAATGGTGCAATTGAGTTGCAACTTGTGGCACAATTAAATTTCCTTATAGTGCAATTAAGTTGCAACTCAATTGAAATTTGAAAATAATTATGGGGACCATCTTTAAACATAAAGTTAATTTTACCCTTCTTATCATTATGAATTGCAACCTATTGAAAGTATTTGGTCAGTTATGAAGGATGAAATTACATGATCAGGTCTACATCCAAACCTTTTATCTGTTAGAAATATACTATTAAATGTATTTAAAGAAAAAATTTCTTCAAAAGTCATTGTTGGACTTTGGAGAAGAGCGTTTAAAAATACTAAAAAATATTTTGAGTCTGATGAGAATATACAATTAATGGATGAAGAATTTGATGCTTATAGTAGTTCTGATAATGATCACATTGATATGATGTAATTTTTATATTATATCTTTCCCAATATGTAGTGATAATATTCGAATTAAAATAAATAATTTACATAATAAAAATTTTTTTATCAATGCAATATTTAAGGTACAAATCTTTTTGCACTGATCCATATTGTACTTACCAGGATGATGTAGACAATTTTTTTTTTGGGTAACGAAAACAAGTATGGTATGGTAACCGATGTATGTATGTATGATGACAAATGTATAGTAGTTTTAACAGTTTTTCCTATACATATATATTTATCAAATACCTTATTGTTATATATAAATGATATATAAATAAAATACCATATACCATACATTCTTAAGTATACACCATATATTTGTCACTATATATATATACATCGGTCTCCATATCATACTTGTTTTCTATATGATCCTTTTTTTTAATATTTTTAGTGATATCACAGAATTTATATGAAAATTAGCTATACAATAATGATAATTTATTTTAAGCAAATAAATAATACAATAAATTATACTTATTATTATGCATATTAATTCCAAGTAACTTGTTCTATTTTTAATATAATAAATAATCTAAGCGTAGAGATGGTAATTATGGAATATTTTTATAACTGTAAAAGTATAATATTTTAGGAACTAAAGATAAAAGGGGGCTAAATTAATAAATATCTTGAAAAATAATTTTCTAGCAAGTGTTTAGATAATTTATTCTTTTTATTTTTGGTGATATCAATTCAATTATGTGGAATAGAACATCTACAATTACCCTTCTGCAAATTTATTTTATTTTATTTTTTTTTTAATTTCGAATTTTTTTTTTAATTAAAGTTTTTATTTTTTTTTATTTTTAATTAAAGATTTATAGCTATAATTTTAAAATTAGTTTTTTTAATTCTCATTTAGTATCTAAGTGGTTGACAAAAGGGATATATTTTATTGTTGCAGTATTAATGGTTATACTTTCATCAAACAAATTAAGGATAATAAAAATAATCAAAATAATCGAAGATGCATTCATTACCAATAAAAGTTGTTACATCTTGAAATATGGTTTTTTTAGCATATAATTAATTGTTACTTGATAAGGCATTAAATAAAGCAATTCGTCTTCTATAAACATATTAATAAGTTCGTTAAGATTTCTTTCCAGTAAGTTTTTCACAAGTATAATTCGTCTAAAATAAAATTTGTTAAATTGAAGTATTAATTTTATAACACAAAAAGGTACTTTTTTTTTGTGGTTCATAAAAAGTGGGTCTTCCATTTTTTTTAAAAGAATCTAATATACGATCACTCGATTTCAAATTTTATGCTAGGCATCTAGTAGGATCGCATCCTATCGCCAAGAGAATGATGAACTTACTCTTCATAATTTTAAAGTTAACATCATAAAATCACACGATAATATCGTTATTGTGCTTGTGTTGATAAATAGTCAAAATTATTATCCAATTCGTAATGATGATCAGTCATCTTCATTATGAATTGGACAATAATTTTGATATTAATCGTTGCACAGCACAATAACTTATAAATATAAATGCAAATTTTTTATTTTGTTTTTATTATGCCGCAAAGTGACTTATAATTACCGCAACCTTATATTTAAATTTGGATGCATAACGCGCAACTAAAATTGATCGTCCGCATTAAGCCGCTTTTTTAGTTGCGGGCTCGCAACTAAAAAAAAATTCGAATTTTAGACACTGGTCTCAATGAAACTTTAAATGATCTTTCGAACATTGTTAAAACGGTAATGCCTATTTTATTCAAAAAAAAATATTAAAGCATTTCAACAATTTCTAGGAATAATACAAGTAAAGTTCGCATTGGATTCAGGCCTGCCGAGAAATTTCTGGCTAAGTGCATCCCTATTCTATGGGGTCCACAAGATTTGAAGAATGAATCTATTTTTTTCTAATTAGAATGCTAAATACTAAATGTCCCACTACATAGTCCGTTTCAACCAGATTTCGACATTATTCTTAAGGTACACATCTTTATTATAGATTTTGAGGAGAAATTGGATGAGAAATAGGATGAGAAACTTGGAAGAATTTGAAGGACGTTTTCTTGAGGAACTTGGACGTTTTATAAATTCAAACTCAGTTTTTCCTTGAACATTTTCGTTTCAACTGCGGATAATAGATTTATATTATATTTATTACGCAGTCACCAAAAACCAATAGCCAAAATAGGTTAGAAATTAAAACGATCAAATGGGATTTATATTAAATACGCAATTAACTTACATTTATTGCGTAGTCGCCAAAAATCAATTTAGGCCAAGTTCGAATAACAAATCGGTTTATTACGCAATTGACTTAAATTTAACTGCACAGTCGCAAAAAAAATTGTAGGAATATAAATATATGTCTTTTGAATTGATTATAATAACTTCTAACGTGGATTTTTATCTTGGCTTTTCCCACGTTAGTTATCTTTGAATCTCCAAATGTTCCACAGAAGATCTTTACGGAGCTAAATATATTTATAAAATCAAAAACAATGAAAATAGCAAATCTAACTACTGAAAGGTGCGAATTTTTTTGACATGTGAAATCATTTACGGTAAACCCTCATAAATACCTCGTTTTATTTTTATTATACGTTTATTTGTAAATCATCATGGTATTACAAGAAAATCCAGAAAACGATAATATTACAGAGCCATTGATTGACCCTTCAGCAACCAGCTCTTCTTACACTGAACCTACAAGGTCTATTCCGACACCTATAGGTTCAACAACTTTCAACATGAGTTTTGTATTTTCTTTACTTGTGAGCGTTGGAGCTTTGTTATTCGCTAGTACTGTTTGGTATATAACAAGTACCGCAGACTATATCTTTTTTATCTGGCATCCAACTTTAATGAGTTTAATGTTATTAATGGCAACGAATGGTAAATTATTATTAAGTTTTTTTATTCTGTTCATTGTAAAAATATAAATCTAAAGATGATATCACATTAAAACGCGCGTCATAAAACATTATATAGGTATTCTGGTACTTCAAAAGGCGGAATCCAGACAAGAAAAAGTAGCTAGTTTAAATTTTCATAAGGCAATGCAATCTATCGCTTTTTTGAGCGTAATTGGAGGTTTCTATGTTATAACTACGTTTAAGAATATGGGAAATAAAGAGCATTGTAAGTTGTTTAATACGCTTTTAAGTTCAAAAAAAATTTTTTGTTTTGATAAGATAATTTTTATAATCTTTTTAATGTTGGTTTTATAGTTGCGTCTCCACATGGAAAATTAGGGGTGATCACATTTTCATTGATTCTCATTCAATCAATTGCCGGATCAACTTTGGTGAATTTCCCTGGAGTAGTTGGTGGTGTCGCAAAGGCCAAAGCCATGTATAAATATCATAGATTTTCCGGTTATTTAGTTTTGGCATTGATCTGGTTCACAGCCCTTGGAGGAACCCAAAATCCTTGGGTCAAAGCTCAATTTGATCATCTTTGGGTTTGGTTATTAGCTGCCGGAATGGTGTTTGTCGGAACTATTGGTAGAATTAAATCAAGCAAATTGAAAGTTTGGTAAAATAGTCAGTCATCAATTTGAATTTTAAAAAATATTGTATTTTTTGAATTATATTTCTCTTTAACGCTAAAATAAAGGCATATGTTCGTTTACGTTACTATTAAAGATAATACTTTTTTTGATGGTGAAAGATTTCTTCAATCTTTATTAATTATTCAATTAAACAATAATATGTGACCAATTATTATGGTACCCTCATTGAATCTAACTAAATTTTATAAATGGTTAATATTTATTTATATTATATATTTATTATATAAAATTTTATTTAATTTCTTGTAATAATTCAATTTTTGATTTAATATAAATAATATTATTAATAGTGTATAGTGTACAAACGGAAAACTAATAAAAAAAAATAATACTCAATTTTGTATAATTTAATTTTTTTTTAAAAAAAAAAAATTTTAGAAGATAATGGAGAAACTATTGTTCTTTCAAAACAACAAAAAAAAAAAAAATTTCTTTTTTCCTTTAATTCCACCGATAATCCTTTCACATGATAATGAGTTTATATTAATAATGATGATGATGATTATGATTATGTTTATTCGGGCCACGTTCTAACTTGCTCACATCATGACGGCCATCACAACATTGCCGTACATTCTCCAAATCTTCAAGTTCATCATCATCAATGTTATTATTTAAAGATCCAAATTGTTGGTGTTGACCATCTATAAGTTCTGATGATAGTGGTGAAGACGATGATCCATCTCGACGGAACATTGCTTGAATCTTATTAAAACTAGACTTTTTCTTAATCTCTCTAGTATTTGATCCCCTTATCGATCCGTTTGGAGATGTAGTACTGTGAAGACTTTGCAAATTCGCTTGATTTTCCCAAGGATCTGTACCATTCCTTGAATGTTTTCCTGGAGTTGGACCTTGTCCCATTTGACCTTGTCCCATTTGCCCTTGCCCCATTTGTCCTGCCTCATCAGGTCGTTGTAATAAATAACTTAAGGCCTTTTATAATAAAAATTGGTAAATAATAAAATATTATTATTATATCACAAGCGTAGATATAAATGAAAAGCAAAACAATAATTAAATTACAACGAACCTGGAACCAATAATCATGTCGTTCTTTTGATGAAGCCGTGAATTTCAACTCTCTTTCAGGAGTTTTAATGACCAAACTTTCATAATGGAGACCAGGAGGTGAAGGATTATTATCTGGAACTTGTTTTACTGATTCAATGTATGCTATAAAAAATTTTAATAATTTAAATAAATATATGATTATGATTATGATTATAAAGTAAGATAAAGTTTCAATATTAACATACCGAAATATGAAGTGCCATTCTTAGATTTGGTGCTAACTGGTTCATAATGACCGGGATCTTTAATACTCCAGTATAAGGTTTTGGTGTAAGGATGGACCCAGAAAAATCGCTTATGACGTTTTCCAGCGCCAAAATTACTTCTGTGGTATTTATATAGATATTCACCAATCATTGTTTGGGTGATTGCATGAATGATATTTGGATCTGTACCAGAAGGACCGGTCATGGGTCCAGTGCTGCTACCAGCTTCAACATGAGATGAGTCTGAACGTCCTATATTTTCAGCCGAGGTAGAAGCACTACTAACACTTGACACTGAACCTGAACTAAGTGTGTGTTTATGATTTGGAAGGACACCATTTCCGATAGAACGAGTATTATTTATCGGTAAATTATCCTGTGAATCTGTGGAAGATTTTCTACCAATATTTAATGGATTATGAGGAACTTTAGATGTTCCCGCTTGTTGTCCGAAGTTAGCAGTTATAGGACGTTGTGTATGAGCCATGAGTGTTTGTGGAGGATTAACTGTAGGTCGTGGTGGGGGGAATAATCCACGAGCTTGATCATGAAGTTTATTATGTGGTTGTAAATGACCACGAGGATTGCTTTCTTCAACATTGTCTCCATGTTGATTACGTTGATTTTTCTGATGTCCCGATGCTGCTGAACTTAGATCAAGTGTAAATCGTTTATCAATGTTGTTATCTTCAGGAACAGAAAGAACGGATTGTCGAGCGTTGGGGTCATCCTTTGATTCATTGGCATTACTATAAACAGTATCTCGACCAAATGTAAACTTGCCAGTATGAATTGTAGAAAGTGAGTCACTTCTTATCACTTCAGGAACGTTATCAGTTTGAACTGACACTTCCTTAAATTCTTTTGGAGGAACGGTTTCTGTCTCAGTGAATGCATCTGAAGTTGTTGGTATCGAATTTGTTGGTATCGAAGTTGTTGGTATCGAAGATCTTCGGTTTGATGCAAGTTTTGAATTCGATTCCCTCTTGGATGCAGCTGATTCCCTTTTTGAATCTAAATTAACCTCATTTGCAGATGTAAATGAATCCACAGAAGAAGCATCATCTTTAATTTCTTCTTCATATTCCTCGCCAGTATCAAGATTGATGATCTTATATCTACCAGATTTACGTTCACGGAAAAAGCTACCATCATTTACAGGTTCGGATTTATGTTTTAAAATATCTTCATATTCGCTGACACGCATACGTACAACTGATTCTCTTTGCTTTGAATCGCGAATAGATTTAGAATCGCTAGCAAATTCGGGACCTTCAATCGATTTATTAGGGTCCGTAGACAATCGAGATGATTTCGATGATATAGATGGATTTCTATTAAGTTTAGTTAAGTTATTAAGAGCTTCGGCTCTTTGTGCAGCGACTATTTCATCATTTTCATCAAATTCTTCTTCTTCGACACCAAGAATATCCTCATCGATCTTACTTGACATTATAGAACTTCGCATTGAATTCTTGCTCTTTCTTGAAAGGTCATGTTTCCATCCACGAGGCTTAAACATATCTGATGAAGGACGATTATCTTTATTGATAACCATATCATCATCACCATCTTCTTCTAAAGAATGCTCTTCAAAATATTCATCCTCATCTTGTGAATCACCATTATCGTTAAATGGCTCATTTTCGTCAATGTTTGGTAATCCATTACTTGATGCAGACGATCTCTTTGGTCGTTTACTTTTAGGTTTCTTGCCGAAAGCTGTAGGATCTGCAAATTCTGTTTCATACCTCATCGCTTCAATTTGTTCTTGACTATCTGCTAGAAGTTTTTTGAGTTCATATTTTTCGCTTTTTTCTTTTTGGATATTTGCACGAAGATTACCAATCATACGATTAGCTACCCCTAGAGCTTTTAAAGTTTCAACTTCGATATTCAAGTTTTTGCCTTGTAAAGCTGCTGGTATGGCCCCGTTACTAGTATCATCGCTAGTTGATAAAGGTTGACCAAATTCGTCAGTGTATACATCATTTTGAACTGCACCTGGTTCCGGTGTTCTTTTTCTTATGATTCTGGCAGCTTGTAATGAATCAAATTGAGTCTTCAAATCATCTAAACTTTTCATGAGATCATTTTTTTCTCGATTAAGTGCAGCAACATGTCTTCTATTATTAGCCATATCTTGATCATGGCGAGTTTTTAAGTTAAAATATTCCGCTGTCAATCTTTCTTCTTTATCTTTAAGTTGTTCAATAACATCAGTTGCAGCTGCGAGAGCCTTTTCAATTTTTGAATAATCATTACGAGCTTTGGCTAATTGTTGTTGAAGATCATCTAATTGTGAACTCAATTCTTGTTTGGCTAATTCAAGGTTCCAATTTTCTTCCTTGTACCGTTCTAATTAGGTTCAATATGCATAACGCTGGTTAAATTCTGTGATGAGAACAATCATTCGTATTTTTCAAATTAGCCGAAATCAAATTATTTATGATAATTACCTTCCGATTCTTCTTTTCCTCGAAGTTGCTTGTTAAGCATCTCAATTACACGCTCTAATTCTGCTTTATCCACTTCAAGTTCTTTTATTCTTTCTTCCTTTTCTTGGAGTAACGCTTGTAAACGCCGAACTTCCACCAATAGACCCTGTCCTATTTCTGCGGCAAATTCAATATCTTGTTTACGATTTTTTGATTTATTTATTTCACGTCTACTAGGACGTGATGAAGTAGTTGCTATGGGTGTTGAATCAACCATCGATGTGGCAGAAGGACCAGGTGATCCAGCTAAATCCCCATCCTATAGAGTAAAACAAACGGATAAGGTAAGTATTATTTAAAAAACGGGAGACAAACCCTTAATTTTCATTTAATAGTCATGGGTCTTTCATAATCTTTATTATAAGTGAAATTGTAAACTAAGATAAGAATCCAAGAATCCAAGAATCCCAAGTTTAATCGTCCCAATGGCCGCAAATTTACCTGACATGATTACAAATTTATAGTATACACACTTGGATGATACTAATTAATTTTAAATCCAAGTTTAAACTTTAGTTAAAAACCTTTTCAACTAAAGTATATGACACTTATAAATACACCATGACCGCGTTTCTTTATCTATGAACTAATTAAATCATTTCCTTACCGAAGAAAGACCCTTGTAACCAAGCTTTGCTGATGTCGCATCAATAATTTTAGCTTGTTTTTCCAGCTCGATTAATTTATCTTTAAGGTCTTGAGGAATTTCATCGCCTTGAGCCAGATCAAGATCTCGTATTCGTTGTTCTAGTTCGGATTTTTGTTTTACTAGTGCTTGACCTAATTCAGCAGTAATTTGAATCTTTTGTGTTTTTTAAAAAGTAAATTTTACACCATTTAGGATAAAAAAATAAACTTTGATTTTTATGATATTATATATAAAATTCTCTTTCTAATAATTATTTTCTTTCCTTCTATATAG